TAGACGTGTTGAGCGTACCGATGCAAAGGTGCCACCCCGCCCCAGCGCCTTCACGCGCGGTGGGCCCGCGAGCCATGAAATGGCGAATAGGGCGAGCCCGGAGCGTTGGAGCCCTGGGGTCATCCGACTACGGTCGCAGGGCAAGCGGCGTGCGCCGTGCGCGCATGCAATCTCCCGCGAGAGCGATCGCTGCTCTGGGCCCAGCCGGTCCGGGAGCCCTGCCGGGTCTCGAATCGTCCAGCCAGCCTGGACTGAATGCCACGGCGACTCCGAATGGGAGGAGCGGACGAGGAGAAGGAAGGGAAGGCAGGGGAGGAGGGCGAGGGGAAGAGAACACATCGTCGATCCCCCTGGCTCCACCACGCTCCCGCACGCCGCTCCGCCGGCCAGTCGGTCAGGGGGCGGAAAATTCGGGCGGTTGTTCCTGCCTCAGAACTGCTGGCGCGCAAAATCCAGGAAGGGGTCCCAGCCGGCACGATAAGCAGGGAAGGGCTGCCAGAGTCAGCGGCACCAAGGAGAAAGGGGGGGCAGGGGGGGCAGGGGAGACAGAGGGGAGGATAGAGAAGGGGAACGTCCTGCTAACAGCGGCTCGCCCACGGCTCCAGCTGGCGTCGACCTGCTGACCTGGATGGGTAGATTCTGCGGCTCCACGGAAGAGGAGGGGGGAGGGAAGGAGGGGCACGGACGGCGGACGACGGACGGGAGGAGGGAGAAGGGGAACGTCCTGCCTACAGCGGCACGCCCACGACACTCCTGGCGTCGACCTGTCCTCCGCATGCCTTCTGATCCTAATCCTCGTCCCCGCCGACCCCTTCCTCCTCAGACTTCCTCCTCCTCATCCTGCTCCTCCTCTTCCTCCTCCTCGTCACCCGTCATCATCATTACCACCAGCACCACCAGCACCACCACCACCACCACCACCACCACCATCATCATCATCATCATCATCATCATCATCATCAGCATCATCATCATCATCATCATCATCATCATCATCATCATCATCACCATCATCCTAATCATCAGCATCATCATCCTCATCCTCATCCTCATCATCACCATCACCATCACCACGCACCACATCACCACCACCACCACCACCATCAGCAGCAGCATCATTATCATCAGCATCACCACCACCACCACTATCATCATCATCATCATCATCATCAGCAGCAGCAGCATCATCATCATCATCAGCATCCCCTGCATCATCGACAACAACAACATCAGCATCATCATCAGCAGCATCAGAACCATCCTCCCACTCCTCAGCGTCATAATCATCATCATCCTTATCATCAGCACAATCAGCATCATAATCATCATCGGTATCATCACAAGCATCAGCAGCAGCATTGCCACAATCATCATCATCATCATCACCACCACCATCATAATAATCACACCCCTCGCCCTCAACAAGGAACTCATCAAAAACAGCATCCGCATCATCATGACGGTACAAAACAGCTTTACCAATATCACCAGCATCATCACCAGCAGCAGCATCATGAGCATCATCACAATCAACAACATCATCAATCTCGCCAGCATCGTCATGGGCTGCAACATCAACAGCATCACCATCAGCATCATAGCATCGGCATCATCCGCAGCGTCGTGGTCGCAATCGTCCCGATCTTTATCAGCATGAATGGAATCGTCAGCATCATCATCACCAGCATGATCATCATCATCATCACCCCCACCATCATCATCATCATCATCATCATCATCATCAGCATCATCATCATCATCATCATCATCATCATCATCATCATCATCATCATCATCATCATCATCATCATCATCATCATCATCATCATCATCATCATCATCATCATCATCATCATCATCATCATCATCATCATCATCATCATCATCATCATCATCATCATCATCATCATCATCATCATCATCATCATCATCATCATCATCATCATCATCATCATCATCATCATCATCATCATCATCATCATCATCATCATCATCATCATCATCATCATCATCATCATCATCATCATCATCATCATCATCATCATCATCATCATATCATCATCATCATCATCATCATCATCATATCATCATCATCATCATCATCTCATCATCATCATCATCATCATCATCATCATCATCATCTCATCATCATCATCATCATCATCATCATCATCATCATCATCTCATCATCTCATCATCATCTCATCATCATCATCATCATCATCATCATCATCATCATCATCATCATCAATCATCATCATCATCAATCATCATCATCATCATCATCATCATCATCATCATCATCATCATCATCATCATCATCATCATCATCATCATCATCATCATCATCATCATCATCATCATCATCATCATCATCATTCATCATTCATCATCATCATCATCATCATCATCATCATCATCATCATCATCACCATCATCATCATCATCATCAGCATCAGCATCATCAGCATCATCATCATCATAATCATCATCATCATCATCATCATCATCATCATCATCATCATCATCATCATCATCGTCGTGATCAGCATCATCATCATGATCATCGCCATCATCATCACCACCACCACCACCCATCATCATCATCACCATCAGCACCATCACCATCATCATCACCATCGCCATCAGTATCGTCAGCATCATCACCATCATCATCAGTACCATCAGTATCAGCAACAGCAGCATCAGCAGCAGGAACATCAGCACCAGCATCAACATCAGCATCACCACCAGGATCATAATCATAAGTAGCATCGTCAGGATCGTCATTATCATCATCAGCATCAGCATCAGCAGCATCGCCATCGTCACCATCCTCACCATCAACATCACCATCATCGTCATCATCATCGTCAGCAGCAGCCTCATCCTCGTCATCAGCATCACAATCATGAGTATCATCGTCGTCATCGTCGTCGTCGCCCTCGTCCTCGATCCTCCTCCTTGCTCGTCACCCCTGCTCGCTCCTCCTCGCTCCTCCTCGCTCCTCCTCGCTCCTCCTCGCTCAGCCTGGCGCTTCCTCACTCCTTTTCGTTCCTCCTCGCTCCTCTTCGTTCCTCATCGGTCATCCTCGATACTCCTCGCTCCTCCACCCTCCTCCTCGCTCCGTCTCGCTCCTCCTCGCTCATCGTCCTCCTCGGCCTTCTCCTCCTCCCCTCCTCCTCGCCCCTCTCCTCCTCCTCCACCAGCCCCTCCCCGCCCTAGGCAGCCTACTAGAGCAAAGACGTAGTCGGCGTGAACTCCTAGGTCGAGCAGGTAATGCGTTCCTGGCCCAGCACGGGACGCTAGTCATCAAACACCTCAGTCGCCAACTCAGGGACTCGGCTCGAAAGTACTGGGAGGAAGTTCAGGAAAGACGGCATGCAGAGCTAGCGGAAGCAGTTGAGCAGCGCAACTACTGTCTTGTTCATAAACTTCAGCGTCTCCTAGCAGCCAAACGTCGAGGGCCTTGTAAACGACAGTTTCGTGCTGTGCAGATGTCTGCCGCTACCGCTGCTTCCTGGTGCAATCGTATGCAACTTCCCGCCGCTCAGGGAGGATACTCAGCTTGCACTGCCACGCTGGAAGACATGCAGCTAGAAATCGATGCGTTACGACGTCCTCAGAGAGATGATATGGATGCTCGTGAGATGGCAATGACAGATCTTGACAACACGTCCTCCACAGTCTGGCGGCGTCGGTCCTGGCGCACGCGGCCACGGTGGTCATGCCCGCCCGAGATGTTGTGCTTGCTATTTCGTCCAGAGTGGACAAATGCACGTCGCCCTCGTGCTCCCACAGGTCTTGGACACGGTGCGCTAGAGCTCGAGCCGAACGCGTCGGCCGACACGCTTACGAAACTATTGCGGACGTGTCGGCGCTGGAGGCGCACTCCTGTTGCCCGGCATGCTGCTCAGGCTGCTAGGCTTCCCAAGAGTGCTAAACTGGACTGCGATGGCGAAAGAATCAGCATGGTGATGTGCACTCTGGGCCGCTGTTTTCACTCAGGAGGAGGAGGAGGAGGAGGAGCAGGGAGAGGAGGAGGAGGAGGAGGAGGAGGAGGAGGACGAGGAGGAGGAGGAGGAGGAGGGGGAGGAGAAGGAGGAGGACGAGGAGGAGGAGGAGGGAGGAAGGGGAGGAGGAGGAGGAGGAGGAGGGTCTACGGGGGACTTCGGGCTCGCAAACGGAGAAACGGCCATGGCAGAGTCCAAGTAATGGGCAGCTTTCGCCTGCAGTAATAGGTAGCTTCGTCCTCCTCCTCCTCCTC